AGTTGTCTGTTACCTCAGTGGAACAAAGAACACAGAGAATATCATGCTACTGTTTGTTCTTTGTGAGCAGAAAACATTATCTTGAGAATTACAGCTAATATAGCATTATTCCTTGTCTGGAATGACACAGAAATTACTGGATCAAATGGGACAAAAGCACACGTCAGTATTGAAACCATTCTGTCTGGAAGTGAGCATGGCTGCGTGAGTCATTGTAGTGTGACTTCACTCTCAGAAATGGGGTTATGAACTCTGCCTCCTCCGCTGGTGCTCCTACCCCTCAGCATTGTCTTACATTTACTAAAGCTCATGTAGGTTAAGATAGAACAGCGTCTATGGGTCCTGTTTCACACGTTCACGCTGTACTTTTCTTTGCAGACACTAACTGCCCCATCTTTTCTAGCTCTTCATCTGAGAGACTATGAAGACATCATTCCCTCAGTTGAGATCTACTCTCTGTTAGCACTCTGTGCTTGTGCGAGCAGAGCCTTTGGTACCTGTTCCAAAGCTTTTATTAAACTGGAATCTTTAGAGACGCTCAGTGCAGAACAGAAGCAGCAATATGAAGACCTGGCTCTGGAGATCTTCACCAAACACACACCGAAAGACAACAGGAAGTCTGAGTTGAACAGCCTTCTTGAAGGGTAGGTGCATCATTACCAGATGCCATTTACCTGATTAGAAGCTTGGATAGAATAAAGCACTAAGTTGATTTTTTTTTTATCCTACAAGGGTGTAGTAAACCTATATTTTTCATTTAGAGAAAAGTTTTTATTAAAAATATTGAGATGAAAGTATTTTTTGAAATTTGTCTTGGAAATTTTTATCCTTCAGTATTTATAGTACAGTAAGACTAATCACATATTTGAGAGTCTAATTGTTTTCTCTCTTATTTTTACAGTGGGGAAGGCAAACTGCCAACATGTATTGCCACTGGAAGCCCAATCATTGAGTATCAATTCTGGGTGTGCAAAGTCTGCAAGCACTATGTTCTTGCTCAGGAAATCAGTAACTATAACTTTTGCCCTTTATGCCACAGTTCAGTAGAATAAAGGAAAAAAGTATCTCAATTGTAAAATACATGAAGCACATATACTTATCTGTACCTGAATATGCAATAATGCTTGATTTTCTAAGGGTTCATATGAAAATCAACTTCATCATCTGCTAGTTGTATTTTTGTATGGAATATATATTACAAAAGAAAATAAAAAGAGGGCTGGAATGTGCTCAGTGGTAGAGTGCTTTCCACGCATGCTCAAGGTCTTGGGTACACTGATAGTAACAACAACAAAAAAAAGATAATTCATACATCACAGTGCAACTAAGAGATAATTTGATTATTTTCACATAAGACTTACAGATGTAAACTTATTTTTTTCTGTAGTTCCTATCTGTCCGTTTACAATTTATATAGATTATATATAATTTGTGGCAAGTTACCACAGAAATCCTCTCAACCAGAAGTAATTCTCTCTTGTCAAGGTTACTGGTTCATTAGAGAGCCCTTGGGAGGTAGATGGGATGGCGGAGGGGCGAGAGGAGAGACTTGAAGCCCAGAGTTGATATAACCTGGATTTCAGGGAGGTTAAGCAACTGGTGAAGGACATGACCTCTACTTCTATTTAAGGATTCAATTTTTATATTTTCATATGAGGAAATGGCATTTAAAGACTTTTTATTGTTTGAAGTTTTAAAGAATGTTTTATCCTCATTCAAGAGGAAGCATTTGGTCCCCTTTGCTTGTAATAAACATTAACTGATTTTGAGTAATGCTGTTGTTACTTATCATCAAACTTATCCCCAGCTATGCCATGGTTCAGAGTATTCTGGTGGCCTAAATGTGGTCCCCGCAGGCCTAGCATGCACTAAATGTGGCCCTGGCAGGCCCAGCATGTACTATATGTGGCTCCGGCAGGCCCAGCATGCTGGTAAGTGGTGCACCTGCACAAGCACAGCCGACCTGCTCTTGTCCACCACACACAGCTCAATATCTTTTGCTAAAATGTACTTTAAGATCACTTTTCTGTATTCTCAGAGCTCAGATCATAGGGTTTTCTGAGAAATTATTTGAAGTAAACATGAAAACAATTAAATTCTGAAGGAAAAGAATGACGTTTATCCCATGGCTCCTTCCTCTATAAAGTATGGAGATGTGGCATTTGCATTGTCTTTCTTTAGACATTTTGGTGGCAGACAGACACACACAGACACATACACAGACACACACACAGAGGTGTACACAAAATATATATCACATGGGAGAAAAACCCAACAGTCTCTTTTAGGCAAATATCCAGTGACTGGAAGTGGCAGAGAACTGTGAGAATTGTTCCCAGAGAGACTACATAAAGTCCACACTCAGAAGCAAGGAAAGAATTGCTTCAAAGTAACAGAGTATTAACTCTGTTGCCACAGTTCTAGACTCCGATTGTGGGTATCTGAAATGGAAACAGCGATATTATGTTGCCCTCTACTGTCTGCTTTTATAATTCTCAATTTTTTAAAAAAAAGACATTTATTTATTATGTATACAGCATTCTGCCTGCATGTAGGCCTGCAGGCCAGAAGAGGGCACCAATCTTACTACAGATGGTTGTGAGCCACCATGTGGTTGCTGGGACTTAAACTCAGGACCTCTGGAAGAACAGCCAGTGCACTTAACCTATGAGCCATCTCTCTAGTCCTTTTCTCAATGTTAGAAAGTATTTTAACTATAAAAGTAACATGTTTATAGTATTAATATTCAGGAATGTTGAAATATAGATGAGAAAGTAAAAGTAGTCTTAATCTTTTAAGAACAGTGTTCATTTTTATTTTTCTTGACTTTCAGAAAGCAGGTGAAACTGAATACATGTGTAAATTACAAACAAGTGTGTCACAGCAGGATCTGGTTGTTCTCAAGCTATTTCTCTAACTAAAAACAAATCAAAAGACTAAGACTTACTGAAGTGCTTTCTTATATGGCACAGATTGAATTTCTGGTTAGTAAAATTTAGAGAAATCTGCCTCTGGGAAGATGGCTGAGCAGGTAAGGTGTTTGCCATGCAAGAGTGAGGACTGGGACTTGGGTCCTCAGCACCCACATAAAAGCAGGCATTAGTAACCTGCCTGTGACCCCAGCAGTTGAGAGGTACAGATGGGATCTCACACGGAGATCCTGGGCAAGCTGGTTAGCTGGACTAGCAGAATTATTAGCAAGCACTGGGGTTTAGCATGAGACCCTGTCTCAATAAGGTACAGAACATTCGAGAAAGAAATTCATCAAACACTGGTCTGATACCCACGAACATATGCATTTACATGTGAACACACACACAGGCATCTTCATACACGCACAGCCATATACACAAAAGTAGAAGCTAAAAGGGTGAGAAAGATGGGCCATGGGAATGGTAAGGGTAAGAAAAGCACACATGGTCACCAACACAAAGGCTTTAGTCAGATGCATTTATGTGAATTGAGAAGAGCACACAGTTTCCCCCTTCTCGTTCCACTAATGTGGTATGTTACACTGATACATGGATTGAGTTATCCTTGTATTTCAGGAGTAATTCTCATTTGACTACAGTGCATAATTCATTTAATATGCTGGTATATTTGATATGGTAGTCTTTTGTTATGTTTTCTGTTAATGCAGGCTGGAGGAAGGTGGTGCAGCCATTTTAAAGGCTAGGCTCACAACCAAAATGTCAAGTTTTGTATTGATGCCAACCAGAATGGATATTGTCAGACACTGGTATCTCAGCAGTATTGGGTTTACAGATGAATGTAAGATGTGTTCTTTGCTGATTAATTTTCAGAAAGAGTTGTTAATTCAGTGTTGGGGTTAGAGAGATGGCTCAATAGTTGAGAACACAGGCTGACCTTCCAGAAGTCCTAAGTTCAATTCCCAGCAACCGCATGGCAGCTCAAAATCATCTATAATGACATCTGATGTCCTCTTTTGTCATGCAGGCATAGATACAAGTTAGAGCAATCATACATAAAAAAAAAATCAGCATCTTTACTAGTAAGTTAGAGGTTTGTTAGAATTTTCTAGCTCCTCACAGTTCAGCATTGGTAGGTTCTGTTTCTATTTACTTCCAAACCCGTCCTTTACAGAATAAAATGCTCTTCTCTTTCTCTATGATACTAGCCATTATCTGACTTTAAAAGACTTTGTTTTCTTCCTAGGCTGCAAGGTACTGAGGACGAAAGCTTTGCTCACTATATTAATGCCAATTTTTAAATTGTGTTTGCCACACCATAGACTTAGTATTTATTCTTTCAGGAGGAAGTTCTATGTTAAAGATGACAATCACTTTCCAAGTATCTTTCTTCTCTGACCTTTACTTTTAGCGCCAATTCTGCCAAATGCCTTATAACATTTATTGTGTGTCATGGTAATAACACCAGTCTGGGTCACTTACTCCGTTCACAGTTTTGGGGGCTGGGGAGTCCACGTATGTACAGGCCCTCTTCCCTCACGAAAGCATGGCAAAAGACATACAAAGACACGGTTTGGAGTGGTCTCTTTGCCTTTTAAATGACTGGCACTAGTCCATTCATGAGGGCGGAGCCCATCTGCATTGGGCCCCACATCAGCACGCTGTTGGATTAAGATAGCCACTCGTGAACTTGGGGTTGTGGTGGTGAGGCACGACATTCAAACCATAACACTCATTTTTTATGCATTGAAAACTGCTCGACTTAGATAACTATGTTCCACTTTTTAGTTTTTGTTATTTTAAATATTTAGCTTTTAAATTCAATCAGAATTAGTATATGAACACTGTATCTTAAGTGCTTCCTTAAGGACAAACGACCCTCTCTAAAACAAAAGAAACTGACATCTATCCATCTAATTTAACATCTAATCTATATATGAATACATATGTCACAAAGATTTCAATCCTCTTTATTTCCCGCTAACTTCGCCAGGCGCTACCAGTTATCTCGCGATATTACGGGTCCTCAAACGGGACAAACGTCCTCCTCCATTAGCGGCGCGCTTCCTTTAGCCAATGAAGTCCGGTGAGCGATAGCTGTGGTTCCGCTTCCACCGGGGCGAGGCGGTTATGGCCGTACGGCCAGGCCGAGAGGGCGGAGAGAGCCCGGCCGCCCTGGCGATGGCACAGGCTCGCTTCGCTAGGGGCGAGTTTGCCGAGGCCCAGGAGCTATACTCCGCGTTCATTGGCCAGTGCGCGAGTCACGGGAGGTAACTATCGCGAGAGCCGGGCGGCGGGGCGCGTGGGTGGTCCCCAAGCGGACGCGCGGACCTCGGAGTCTTGGTCTCCATAAAGGATTCCCTCGGTGTCCTGTCCTTCGGGGAGGTGGACGCTTTGGTTTCCCCCAATGCCCAGGCTGCCGGAAGCCGCTTTCCTGGGCAGGGAAGGCGGCCGGGTTGCGCCGCGGTCCTCGGGACCACAGCGACGCCTTTGCGTTCCGGACGCGAAAGTTCCGGTTCGGCACCCGCTTAAGCACGACCACTGCACCCAGCCGTCCCGTTAGTGTTTACCGAAACGTCACAGCACACTCCCGGTAGTTAAGGATTGTTCATAGGACCTCGCTATACCAGCACAAGATTCCTTTCTGTAGAATATCCAGCCAGCGATGAAACTTTTATTGCCTAATACAGCTCTTTGTTATTTGGATGTTTGGGCTCGAGCAGTTTATCAAGATGTGCACATCCGACCCCTCTTTATTCCTAGTCTGCTTTGAGTCTTGAGAAAACGGGGTTGTAGGTCGAACCAAATGTCCGACAATTTGTCTTCTAAAATTTTGACATCTAGGGGTCTTGATAGGGCAAAAAAATAAAAATCTCAAGCCAGGCAGAGGGGCGTGTGTGTGTGTGTGTGTACGCGCGCGCGCGGGCACACAGGAAAAAAAGGAAAAAAAAAAGCAAAAAAAGAGCAAAAACCCCGCAAAGCGGAAGAGGATTTCAGGAACCCTCAAATCCGTTCCCCTGAGGGCTTAAGGGACTGAGGGTTGGTCAGTTTGAACACAAGGTGCTTGATATAGGTCCTCAGGTTTGCCCTAAGCGTGTCCTGATCCAGCTTTGAACTTATGCAGTAGCACAGCATATCCATCAGCAGGGGATCCTACTGGTGGAAGAAAAGTAGAAAAGCCTTTTTATTAGGCTGCCAGGTTTTTGTTTCAGGTCAGCCGGGTAAGGAAGAAGTAGGCCAGATTGGACGTTCACTGTCTTTATTATCTAGTCTTGGCTCCTCTCCTGACGCATCTACTTATCAGGGAGTCTAACTCCCAGTCCCTTTGAATTGTTTGTCTCAGTGTCTTTGTATTGGTTGTGAATTGATCGTTAAACCTGGAGACTCAATCCAACTCAAAAATGAGAACGTTTCTGTCTGCAGGTTAACATTTCCACTGTAATCAATTGAAGCCTTCTTTTACTCTTTGTGATGTTCACAGCCTCATTATCTTCTTGCTGATGCCTGGATATGCAGCACTAGTTACTTCAAGCTTTGCCTTTGTTTCGCTTTATGTAATGTGTGGAGTGAACACAAAGAAACTGGACATTTTTTTCCACTTCCTTCTTTCCTTCCTTCCTTCCTTCCATCCTTCCATCCTTCCTTTCTTTCCTTCTTTCCTCTCCTTTCTGTTTTTTTTTTTTTTGGGGGGGGGCTAGCCCCAGCTGTTCTGGAACTCCCTCTACACACCAGGCTGGACTTGAATTCAGAGATCCCCCTGCCTCTGCTTCCCAAGTGCTGAGATCACAGGCAAGGAGCAGTGGTCCTGTAAAATTTTTATATCAGAAGGCAAGCTTGTCTTTGCATGAGATCTAATACTGAAGACTGCATTCTTATTTGTTTGTAAGACTTAAATGGAATTAAGCCAGAAAGGTAAAATTGCTTTCTCATTTTAGTACTACAGTATTGGGATACTTAACAGAAATTTCTTTTTTGAATACAGTATTTTTGCTAATTCTTAGAGAATTTCATACAGTGTATTTTGATAATCCTCACCCCCCCACTACTCACCTTAATTCCTCTCAGCTCTGCCTCTACTTCCCTTCCCCCTCTTTTTATTTTTATTTAAGTTACCAAGTCCCATTTTGTGCTGCCCCATTTATTCACAAATGTGTGGCCATCCAGGAGATTGGTTGACCTACCAGGGGCCATACCCTTAAGAAAGCTAACCCTCCCTCCATTCCTCAGATGCCATTGACTGTTGGTAGTTCCTCTGGGGTAAGAGCACCCTCCCCATGCTGGAGTATTGACTGACTTGATCTTGTGCAGGTCTTGTGCAGCCAACCACAGCTGTGACTTTACAAGTGCCAGTGCCCAGGAGACCCCATCTCACGGTGTCTGCCCTAGTCCCAGGCTCATCCAGTTTCCCCGCCTTCTCTTCGCCATTCCCGAGCCTTAGGGGTGAGAGAAGGTGTTGATGGGAATCCCATTTGTGGCCGAGCACTCCGCTGACATTTGCTAATAGAAAATTCTGCAGAGGTGGTAGAATGATGTAACCGTCTCTCTCTGTCATTTCCAGCACCACTCCTGATAAAAAGGCTAGCAAGCACAGGAGACTTCATTTCTGTTCTCGTTTAGCCTCTAATGGGCTTCTTTAGGAAGTTTCAGGAACAATTAGTGATAGGTATGTGGATGTTACATGAGCTTCTTATTCTTTCTCATTTGCACATGTCAGCCCATGAACCCGTGTCCACCACAGCAAGTTAATCTCTGCCCTTTACGGGCTAGAAGATGCGTCGGGCTCAGCGAGACCTCCGCACTCCCGTGTTCCAGTCTCAGCGTTACTGTATCCCGTGCACCTCCTTTCTATGGCCAGTTTCTCATTTGTAAAATGGACTTTCAGTCTCCATAGAGTTCAAAACATGAAGTCTACCAGTTCCACATTTCCCTTTACATCTATCTTTGGAAGTTTAATTTTATTTTTTAAAATATTGGGTCATTGAATAATTCTGAATAGTACTGACTGCTTTCATGGGGCCCAATGGGTAAAGGTGCTTGCCACACAAGCCTGATGACCTCAGTTCAATCCCTGGAATGCATGACTCTGCACTCACATAGTGGCACCTTACACAGAACAATTAATAAAAATTCAAAGAAGAAATATTATGCTTAAAAATACCAGTACTTTAACAATGAAAGTCAGTGATATTAGTGCCTCTCTCTCTCTCTCTCTCTCCCTCTCCCTCTCCCTCTCCCTCTCCCTCTCCCTCTCCCTCTCCCTCTCTTCCTCTCTTCCTCTCTCCCTCTCTTGTTTTAAAAGATTTCTTCTAAATTCATATGGGTGTTTGCACACATGTATATGTGTGGACCAGATGCATGCAGTGCCCATAGAGGACAGGAGAGGGCATTAAATTCTCTGAAACTGTGTTCCAGATGTTTGTGACCCTCAGTGGGGATGCTGGGTCCTTTGGAAGAGCAACAAGTGCACTTAACTGTTGAACCATCTCTCTAGCCCTTGCCTACATCTTTAAGATTGCAGACAAAATGTTTGCCTTTATGGAAAATAATATTTTAGAGTTTGCCTTAGTGAAATCTAACATTCTAAGATTATCCAAGGATAAGAATTTATAACAAAGCTTTGAAACCTGAAGGAATTAATAATGAAAGTATTGCTGAAGTACTGAGGTGGTGTCTCCTTAAGTTTGGGGTAGCAGTTCAGCTGGTGTCTAACACCGTTACAGCCTCCTCCTGTTCGTGAGCCTTAACAGTGGTATTAGTAGCTTTCAGAGGTGTCTGTCTTTCTCAGAGCTGACAAAACAGAAAATGTCTAAGTTACAACAGTTCCTTCTACTATTATGAAGTCTCAACTGCAGGCCCATGTGGGTGTGGTGGTACATGCTTTGATCCAGCAGAGGCCAGCCTGTCCAAAATAGTGAGTTCCAGGCCAGCCAGGGTTACATAGTGAGAATCTGTCTCAAAAAAACTGGAACAATCAAATAAACAACCCCCGCCCCCCAATACAAATAAACTGCAAGAACCTCCGTGTGCTAGCGTAGTCAGGGTCCTTGTCTGAGTTGTCAAGGATTAATATGTCTGGTAGAACAGCACGGGTCAGGGATGTGGCTTATCAGCTACAGGTACTTGCTGTGCCAACCTGGCAACTGAGTTCCATTCTTGAAGCCCAGGTAAAGGAGAAAAGACAGAACTGACACCACAGAGTTTTAACTGAACTCCATACACCCACTGTGGCATCCCTGCTCACACACACGTGCAGTAATACATTAAAAAAAATAAATTACTGCCGTTACCAATACTTTCTGAGGATTATGTTTTGTACTGTGGGGTATAGCAAAAGAGAGAGAGGTGAAGTATGTAGTTCATCCGTTTGACTTTGGGCGATAAAAGGGAAGGAAGAGGGAAGACAGTAATACCCCTGGCTCCAAGCAGTGAAGATAATTTGCATAGGCAGTGAGAGGGAGGAGGCTTTGACCTTGTGTGGCTCCCAGCCACTGGGTGTTAGGCCTCTCACAGGAAGTGCAGAACTGTGGAATATTACACCTATGGCTAACCACTGCTTAACCAGTGTTTCTTTACTGTGGAAAATGACCTTAGATCTCATTGTTTGAAGACCACCTACATTTTAGAATAAATCAGTAAGTGTCCGTGACACTTCTGTAGCACACTGTTACCTGGTGAGCTTTCCTTGCTCAGCATGCATTTCTTCCCTCCAGAGAGGGCTCTGAAAAAATAGTCAGCCATCAGTTTAGAATTCAGCAAAACATGTTGGCAAAGAACAAGGGCTTTGAAGACTCTAATAACATTCCACGTACTTTAAAATCCACGCTGCGTTGTAGCCCCACGAAGGTCGCTGATGGCCGTCCACGGAACTTGATTTCTGTTTCCACATGCACCATTTCTTCAGCTTGGCGTTCCAGCTTCCACACAGCCTGTTGTAGCTCTGGAGTTTGATGGTGCTCCAAACAGCATGGAAGTGGGGGGCTGGGGGTTAACAATGTGCTTTTAATGTGAACTTTTTGTTTAAAGCAAATGTAGCCCTGAGGATTTGGCCACCGCATATAACAACAGGGGGCAAACCAAGTACTTCAGCGTTGATTTTTATGAAGCCATGGACGACTACACATCTGCCATAGAAATCCTGCCCAACTTTGAAGTTCCCTATTATAACAGAGGCTTGATTCGCTACAGGCTGGGTAAGGTGGTTTCGTTTTTCACTTTTTTATTTTTTATTTTTGCTTTTCTCGTGGACTGTATCCTGTTGCTTCAGAGTGATCAGCTGTTCTGAGGGAATCAAGTTTGACAATTATGTGAAATTTAGGTCTGGAGCTAAGGAAGGAGAAAGCGTCCCCGAGTGTTTTTAGGCATTTGCTAGGCCTTACAGACCACAGCGGGGGACTGTAGTGGGAATGGGACCTGGACGCAGGAGCAAAGATGACCCCGCGCCTGCGCAGACCCAGCTTCAAAATGAGGGTAATGCTGATGAGTGCCAGTGACACTTTCTAGTTGAAGAGGCAGGAGACAGTCAGAAGTGAGGTTTTTAGAAGCCTGGATTAAAGGGGCTGTGGATACTGTTTATCTTAAAATAAAAAAGGAAAACCCGTTTCTCTGTTTTACTGCAGCTATGTAAAAGAAGTGATATAATTTTGTTGAACTTTTGTGATGATTTATATACTGCCCGTCTATAAAATCTGATTAAGATAAACCTATGACTAATTTTATTTGTTTTTATTTTTTGTATTGTCGGAGATTGAACGCAGGGCCTCATGTATGTTAGGCGAGAGCTAACGCTGCCGGGCAGCACAGTCTCGGTCACTGGCTTAGACCCACCTACTTCGTAAGGGCACATGTTTCTGTGCTAGACCATCTTAGATTACTGAGAGAGACAGCTTCCTTTTGGAGGGCTAGCTCATAGATGAAACTGTATATTCAAACTTCACTGTGCAGTTACGGAAATCCTCAACTTCTCCTTTTTCTTTTTTCTATCTCTGGGATTCTCTGCTACAGGATATTTTGATGAAGCTTTGGAAGATTTCAAGAAGGCATTAGACCTAAATCCTGGATTTCAAGATGCTGTTTTGAGCTTAAAACAGACCATTTTAGACAGAGAAGAAAAGCAAAGACGAAATGCTGAGAAAAGTTACTGAAACCTTCAGCTTGTTGAGATTTTAACTTGAGGTCCTTAAATCTGCATCTGATTGACTCTAAGATAGGCATAGAACTTTTGATTATATGTAAGAGATTGAATTTTAGAAGTGAAAGTAAAATAATGTGCTTATTAATTTCAAGAAAGATAATGTTTGCTAGATCTCTTAATAGAGTAAATGAATAATACAATGTGTAAATGTAGGAAAAATATTTAAATCATTATGTATCATTTTTAGTAAAGGCTTTATTTTTACCATACATTTCTATTCACAACTTTGTATTTTTCTTGCCACTCAGAAAAGTTACTGGTAAATACAATCAAGTCATAAACTCTCACCTACTTAAAATATCACATTTGCTTTTTCTGAATACTTAAAACCAAAACTTTCCACTGTAAAGTCTGAGGCAGGAGGATTGCTGTGATTTCTCTAAGCCTAGGCTATAGAGACCCTTCAACAAAGCCCCTCCCCCACAAAAGCCAAAGTTCTTTTGCTGACTGGCTTGAGGATGAGATCCTGATGTGACAGTGTTCCAGTCCCTAAGCAGTTCTGTCTGCACCGTCCCAAAGACGCTCTCGTCCACAGCCACTAGTTGCTGTGACACCTAATAAACATAAGACTATAACCTGCTCCACATCCAGCCCGTCTTCACATTCCCCCTGTGACTTCAGATAATTGCACCCTGCTCTCACGTCTCAGTACTCTTCCCCTCTGGGGTCATCTCCTGCTCATTTTCTCTGCACAGTGAGTGGAGAACTCGCTTACTTTACATATGGTAGTGGGCTGAGAGACAGGACCCTTGGGCTTAAACATAAGCACTCATCCTATGGGAGAGCAGTTGGAAAGAATTCATCCTACATTTCATCTTTTTTCTAAAACTCATTAAAGAGATAGGCTAAGATTTAAGTATTGAATGTAATTTCTGTCTTTAGATGCTTACTATAATGATTGATACCATCAGTATTTTTCAAATACTTAGTATAAGCCAAATACTAATCAAAGTCTTTATGAATTGATGCAGTGTAGACAGGGAGGTGACAAACCGACAAAAGCGTGTTAATGTAAAGCTTAACAATTCTGTTTTGAGTTCTGCCAGCGAACAACCGGGCTCTCACGGGCTGGGAAGAACTCTGGGGAAGCAAGCCAAAGCCAGCGTGTACCATCTACAGTTTTAAATTTTTATTGTCGTGGTTTGGCATTCTGAGATACAGCCCCTCATCTTTAGGTCTCCCAAACTGGTTTATTGCTGCTGTGGGAACGCTGTTCTGGGTAGAAATGGCCCCCACTGGAGAGAGACAGAGTGCGTTTGCTTGGCATCCAAAGCCCAACAGAACTCTGTGGCTTCAGTGGCTTCCGATGCCGTCACCACCACCACCCTTAACTAATTTCTTTCCTTCTTCTTTCTTTCTTTCTTTCTTTCTTTCTTTCTTTCTTTCTTTCTTTCTCTCTTTCCTTCCTTCTTTTCTTTCTTTCTTTCTTTCTTTCTTTCTCCTTCCTTTCCTTCTTTTCTCTTTCTTTCCTTTCTTGTCTGCCTTCTTAAAAAAAGTAATCTCATGAAGCAGAGATTAATTGTCCTGTTTATAATTTGTAAATAATATCTGGCAAAATTCGTGGAGAATTTGTGCTGCAGGTGAATGAATAGGAAATTAAGTTTGGTGCCAGGAATGAAAATTTGCTCTATTTTTATAATCACTCACATTTTTCAATATGATTTATCTCTGTTGGAAAGAGCATTAAAAGAATTTATAATATTGCATGAAAACAGAAAGGTCCCTTTTTATACAGCCTTTTGTAAAAAGAAGCAAGCTGTCCTGACCTTGGGAGAGCTAAACACCATTCCACCCAGAGAATCAAGTAATACTTAAACAATTTTATTTTCTCTTGGCTCATAGTCTCTATTTTATTTGCCTGGAATCAGATGTAGTATGAAAAAGAAAACTTGTTAAAAAGTTTTCATTTGCTTTGCTAGATTTTATTACTCAAAAGTTTCTTAATTTCTCAGAAAAACAAAATCTCTGATGCTTAGGATCAAACCTGCCTCCACTTAAATTGCCTTTGTCTTTTACTGGCTATAGCTAAATAGTACCAAATTTTATCTTCTCCCAAACTAGGCTTTGCACATCCATGGCCCATTTCTCCTTGGCTGAGTGATACCTTGAGTATTTAAATGTTGTTTATCCACATGCGATTATTCCCAGTTCCCACATCTAGATGTTGCTAGAAAAATACCCAAACTCTGTTACCCAGCATCCCCCTCTGTTACCCAGCATCCCCCCTCTGCAAAAACAACACAGAGAGGACTTGCAGTTTGTTATACAAATAGTTTCACAAAGGATAGTGAAATGGAGTAAGTGGATTTAAATTACTTTCGAGTTTGGAAGATTATTCTTAATACTGCTTGAGGAACATGTTTTTGTCTTCCAAGTCTGGAACTGAATGAAGTCCATGGACTGACTTGACAACAGCAAACTGCAGTGAACAAGCAAGCTAGATTTCCTGTCAGCCCTCAGTCACGATCTGGTTGCTTTTTTCTGTGTCATTTCTGGGTTCTCTGCCATTTGCTGGCATCCTTATCCTTCCCTGGTGAGCAGAATACCATTTTTGGAGGTAGTAACTCTTCGTGGGCAAGATACATTTTTATCCCTGCCATTGGTGGGTGGGTGGGGACAAGTTCACTGTTTATACTGTTCTAGGACTCAAAGTATCTGCAGAGTTTAGCCTCCTTAAGAATTTGAAGTTTCTTAAGGACTTTAGTTTCTCAACCAAAATACTTCTAAGTAAAAGCTGATAACAAGAAGAAAAAATTTTTTACTTTTATCCTACTGCATCTATACCTCTACACCTTTCTCCTCCCTTCCCCGCCCCTCTCTCTTTCTTTCTTTCTTTCTTTCTTTCTTTCTTTCTTTCTTTCTTTCTTTCTTTCTTTCGTGGCCCTGGCTGTCCTGGAACTCACTCTGTAGAACTCAGAGATCTGTCTGCTTCTGTCTCTCAAAGCTGTGTACCAGTACATCCGGTTCACCTACTTTCACAAAAGAAAAATAAATCAGTGGAAACAAATGTTTATAACAGTGTAAACAGTTTGCATATAAACTTCTAGAATCGATGTTTACTTTTTTCTGAAGCATTGTGAAACAGCTTTATTGACATGTAATTTATATATTCAACCATTCCATTTGAAGTATATAATTAGGTGGTTTTGATTATATTCAGAGTTTTGTACTATTTTTTAAAAAGCTATTTTCCAGCTTTGGGGCAGAGAGAGGCATGTTTCATGGTTGTGTGTGTACTTCAAAAATAACACATAAGACAGATCAAAGTTGCTGCCTCTCCCTGATCTCTCTAAATGCACCATATGGTTCAAGTCTTAATAACAATCTCTGGCTAGAAATTTGTCTCGAGGAAAAGGGTTATATTTGCCTGGAACAATAATGTTAGATACACTTGGAAAGTTTGTGATAACAGATGATTGTTTTGAAAAATTAATTATTGGTGCTGGAGAGATATCTTAGGACGTTAAGAACACTGGCTGCTTTTCCAGAGGACCCTGGTTTAATACCCAGCATGGCAGCTCATAATCATCTGTAACTCCAGTTCTAGGAGATCTAATGCCATCTTCTGGCCTCCCCTGACACTTCATGTATGTAGAGCCCAGACATACATGCAGGCAAGACACCTAGATGCATAAAATAATAAAATTAAATCCTTGAAGTGTGTGATGTGAAAACCCAGTGAAGAGCACTTTGAACTGCTACCGACTGTGTGGACCTTGTACAATCATAACATCTATAAAAGTTTAGATTTTAGTGTTTTCTATAGTCTTTAAAAAAATACACCAATTAATCAGGGGAATGGCATGCCAGTTTGAAATAGCAGTAGAGCAAAGAGAGGAGAGAGGTTTCTTAGCCAGTGTTAGGGGACCTCAAAAGACTCTTCCTATCATAAGGACAAAAGGAGGGTGATAAATGCAGTTACTTATTTATTTTTTCTATGTAAGATTTTCCTTAGATTAAAAAACAGCTTATGCTTTTTAAAATGATAGGAGAGTAAAAACACAGAATGAAGGGTAAAAGACAAATGATGGAAAATTCTAAGTGAAGGACCACAGAATAGGGCCTGGGAATACACAGATGACAGTAAACTAAGAGAACAGTCATGTCGTGTAGCCTGTGTTAGTGATGTGTGCATGCACATACAGCTGGGGGGATGACACCACCTTGTTTTCACAGAGAAGGAGGCTTAGGCCAAGACAGCTAGGAACTTCCCAAGTCCATACAGACATCTGGAACCACAGTTACTATCAATCAGTTTTTGTTCCCGAACTGGCATCAACTCAAAGTAGATATGTAAATATTTTTGTCCCAGTTAAAAATTGCTTATAAATTTTTAGTGCCTATCAAGGTGAGTGTCCACAAAACATGTATTTTCGCTTTTTTATAACAGAGTGTTATTACCATGTTAGACTTGCTTGTGGGCCATTTTTACCCCTGATTGAAAACAGACACAGGAGATGGTGAAAAACAGATTAATATTAAGAGCAAACTCCACTTGGAAACTTGAAAGCCACAGCTGCCAATATGTAAATTTGTGTCTCATGTTGAGAAAAAGCATCCAACACTTAGAGAGAGCGAAGCAGACGAGTATGTGCTATTTCAGCATCCTAGGAGGCTCAGTCTAAGAGACCCACCCAAGCACTATTGCATTCTGTTGCTTGAGATGCAGGCTAAGGTTACATGAACTTGTCTGGTTTTGTCCACAGGACATGCAAATGAGTCGTCTGATAGGCAAGATAACCCCCAAAGGTTCTGGTTTTATTGCCCTCTAGAGCAGCAACCAGTTTTGCATGCACTCGGGCAATGTGAGTTCTTCCCTTGAATTCTCCCCGCAACGCAACGCAGCAAATCCTCAGTTCTGCCCCTCTTCTCAGCACCTCCGGGTTCTTTCCTAGATGCTGGGATTTCACTTGGAATTATAGGAGTCATATTTAAAGATTTCTAATGTCTGAGAGTGCTATTGAAAAGTTAACATCTTAGCTAGAACTTCTCATGATGCACTCCTGTTATTTCTAGCAGGAACAAGGGTGAAAAGGGACCAAAAGAGTTTCCTTTCCTGTTGTCAGCGTGCAGAGGTTTACTTGCCCTGGCTGAAGCAATGCACAGGGAAGCCCTTCACCTAAGACGCATGGCAAAGTAACCTCAACTGCAGGGAGTATCCACACAATGCAGTCTCCCCATGGTTTCCACTCTCACTCACTTCCTGAGA